TTGTAATTATATTTAAACTATAAAACACTTCCGTAGATTGCTTCGCGCACGATTGCAATCTGAAACAGAAATAAAAAACACTACTATAAATATCATTGCTATTACATAAAACCATTCAAATTTTGGAGGAATTGTTTAATACAAAAATATACTCACTTTGATGAATGCACGATGAATGCACGATGGGTCTCCTACCCTTAGGATGACGATGACAATGCACAAAGAATGATTATAAAACTGCATTACATGCAGTTAATTAAATTAACACTAGATTTATGGATTGAGCAAATTTGATTCATTTCTAACCTTTTTGCTCTACATATATATATAAAATAGAAATATTATTTTTATTTTAAATTTATGTTAATTTTTAATGCTGTAATGAAATTTACGTAAATATTAATTCCTCTCATCTACCCACTTTTTCATTCAAACAATGTTTGTAAATTTAAAAAAAAAATACTGAACAAAACAATAGTGAACAAATCTAGTGTTAAATGAATTTCTACATGAATTTAATGAATAAAATGTGAATACTATTCCAACGATGATCTGAAACACAAATAAAAACAAGATTACATAAATCGTTGTTATATAAAAATTACTATCATTATTTATAAAATGTTTAATAGAAAAATATACTCACTTTGATGGATGCAGGATGAATGCAGGATGGGTATCCTACCCTTAGGATGACGATGAGCACATGTTTAAACCGAATAAAAAGAAACTTGCGAGTTTCTTAACCGAGCAAACGAAACTTTCACATGCGACGATCAACACTGAATCTACTTGTCGACTTTTTTATATTTTATTTTAACACGATGCAACACACGAGTATTTCATTGCCTACGCGCACGATTGCAATGTTCTAAAACAGAAAAAGAAAAAGACCAATTAATGTCATCGTCGTAATAAAAATCCATTGAAATTATCATAGGAATGTTTGATAGTAAAATATATTTACTTTTAGTCTACGTTGATGACTGTGCAGGATGGGTATCCTACCCTTAGGATGACGATGTATAAAATAAAATTAAATAAAAGATCTAAAAAGCTGAAACATATTAAAGATTATATTACAATATTTCCTATAAATCATTTCTGATGGCAGGGCACGCATTACAACCATTGAATATTTTATCAAAAATATTCAATGATAAATAGAAAGAAATAATTCAATAATCTATGACAATTGACATAATTAAAAGTTAAAGTTATTAAGTATTTGTGAAATTGATCAAAGTATGCAACTATATCTGCATACTAAATTACATACCAAGTATGTAATATTAATAAAAATATTCATTAAAAATCTTTAAAGTAGTCTAAATGAAACAGTAATTGTATCAGCAAAGTCAATAAAGAATAAGATAAAAAATGAACTAGTTTTTATACTACTCTATGCAATGAAAATCTTGTTAAAGTATTAAAATCAAAACGATAACGTTAGAAATCAAATTATTCAATAATTTAATACGCTTTATTTTCGTTGATGTTGTCTCGTCGAAGGATAGACGAAGAATAGGAGATTACGTTACTACGTAACCTTGGTAGAGGAGACCTACGAAGTGTCGAACGTTCGGTACTCTGTGCTCGGATCTCGGCTGTTTCTCTTTTGTTATCGATTAATTTTTATTTATTTTTGTCTCGAGAATTTCCTAGAAATATATAAACACATTTATGACTACCTGTAGTTCGTATTCATATTCTTTCTTTCTCGTGTTCTCTCTTTCTATCTCACACTCTTTCTATTACAATTATTTTTGCTTTAAAATAAAGAGATAGACCTATCTCAATAAATGTAAAAGGAAACACGATTCTTAGATTGAATATATGTATTCGTATTGAATTCTCCCAATGCTAGAAAAAGTAAAAAAAAAGTAAAAAAAAGTAAAAAATACAATTACATTAGTACAATATAAAGAAAATCAAATATATGAGTATACGTGTACGAGTTACCTATACTTATGTATATATGCCTGTATGTATGTATTAACAATATACAAAATTCTGACATTTTATTTTTTTATTTTTTTATTTTTTTAATAATAATTTGATTGAACATCTCACAAAAAGAATTCGGGAACCTTTTGATCACAGATTTTTGTTCAAACTTTGCACACTTGCAATAATCAATGAAAATATTCATTGCAAATCATATTTGTGATTTTAACAATGAATAATTTTTAAATAATATATTTATGTTAAATTATAAATGATATATTGAAGATGAAAAATCACATTAACCTTATATATATATAAATAATTATAACTTTGCTATATAAATTAACGAAATAAATATTTCAATAGATTTATTTGTTTAAAAGCAAAATTATCAAAGTAAAAGATTCGGTTATTATTCTCATTTAACGGCTGAGCTTTAAATTTTGTAAATATTGATATATTATTGTATTTAGTATACAGTTACAATTTAATCAAGGTTAAGTAATAATCTATATGTTTGAAATTCAAAAGGTAATTGGATCGGTTATGTAAAGAAACAAATAAAGTGAAGAGATGAAAACCAGCAAATTATTGAATTATTAAATTATTGGTCAGATTGTAATATGAAATAAATTAGAGCTGTAAAAATGAACCTTTTTGCATAAATTTCTATTAAAGATGATGGTAAATAAGTTACATTTCCACAGCTAACACACTGTATATTATTTTATTACATCCTTATGTTTCAATGTAATGGAGAGGTGAAAATATGTTATGTTTTATTGTAATATTTATTACAATTTATAACAAATTGATTTTATTATTATTATTATTATTATTATTATTATTATTTAATCATATTTTAATAATAATACTACTAAATATTAATTAATCTCACATACGTTCAATTGTAGAACATTTGTTATCCCTTCTTGAACAAACCTAACTCCCTACTTCAAATCTCTTAACGAAACTTTTAATTGGTTACAAAGCTTCCCCCATCTTATTTTTACTTTAATTTCAAAATTTTAGACTACAACAAGATTCCACTGAACATTTGTATTTCAGTCTACTTCGAATCTTTAAATAACATCGTTGTTGATTTAAATACAAATTAAAAATGTCATCTTACGTTAATTCTACAAATTCACAAAAAAAGAGCAAATACGTTTCATTAAAAGAAGTATCAAATTTAATTCCACAATTTAATGGTTCTCATTCGGAAGCTTCAAATTTTATTACTCAATGTGAAAAAGCATATAAACTAACAAAAAAACAAAATGAACATTCCTTGAAGAATATTATTCTTTCAAAAATTGTCGGTGAACCAGCTTCATTAGTTCGTAACAAAAATTTATCCATCATCGATATATTATCAATAATAAAAACAAATTATATAATGGACGAAAAATTGTTTGACAAAATGAATAAAGAAAATTTACGGGCATATCATTATTTATCTAATAGATCGGAATATCAACAAGTGGGACAATTTGGATCAGTTCCATTTCATAGACCGGAATTAGAACAAATATCGCAAGTGAGCAATGCACATGAAAGATTCGATTATCCACAAGTACCACAACCATTTGGATATTCATATGCTATACCATATTTATATCAACAAATACCTCAATTCTCTAATCCACTTTATAGACCAGAATTCTATCAAATATCACAATATGGATATCCATTTAGTACACCGATATATCAACAAATACCGCCAATAGACAATTCATATGAAAGACCGGAATTCCAACAAGCATCGCCAGTTAGCAATGCAAATAAAATACCGGAATTTCAAGAAAAATTGCCAGCGTGCAATGCAGATGAAAGATTGGAATGTCAACAAGTATCGTCAACGAGCAATGTGGATAAAAAATCAAAAGTCCAGCGAGTATTACCAGTGAGCAATAAGAATGAAAGACCAGAATTCCAACAAGTATCGCAAGTGGGCAATGGACATGAAAAACTGGAATATCCAAAAGTATCACAATTTGAATTTTTACTTAATAGTCCGGAATTCAAACCATTATCGCAAATGAATAATACACATGAAAGACCACAATTCCAAGTATCATCAGTGAGTAAAGTAGATGAAAGACCAGAATTCCAAAAAGTATCACAAGTGACCAATACGCATCAAAAACTGGAATATCCACAAGTTTCACCATTTGGATATTCACTCAGTAGACCAGAATTTCAAAAAGTATCTCCAGTAAGTAATTCAAATGAAAGACCAGAATTTCAACAAATACCACAAGTGAACAATACATATGAAAAACTGGAATATCCACAAGTGTCATCATTTGGATATCCGCTCAGTAAACCAGAATCTCAAAAAGTATCTCCAATAAATAATGCAAATGAAAGACCAGAAATTCAACAAATACCACAAGTGGACAATGCACATGAAAAACTAGAATATCCACAAGTGTCACCATTTGGATATCCACTCAGTAGACTGGAATATCCACAAGAATTACAATTTGGATATTCACCTTATAGGACAGATTTCCAACCATTATCACAAATGGAATATACATATGAAAGACCGCAATTCCCACAATCTGAATATTCGTTTAATAAATGAGAATTTGAAGAAGTATTGCAATTTTGACATTTATTTAATAGACTGTTATACCAGCAAGTATCGTAATTTGAAAATTCAGATGGTTAATTTGAATTTCAATTTATGAGACCTTCACGTTATTAGACTAGAATATCAACAATATTTTACATTTTGCATATAATTTATTGTTTGATATATTCTATATATTATTATTATTAATATATTTAATTATAGATAATTGTTAACTTATTATACATATACTTATAAATTATTTCAATTTTGATATAATGACTCCTATTATTTTAGGTTAAATCATGTTATTCGTTTTAGGATCTTCGGGTATAAACCTAATATAGATATTAAAATGTTGTCTTTAAATGTTCCTTTTCCCAAGTTTATTTTTTTATTATTATTATTAGTTTTGGACTATACAAAATAAATGAATATATATCAGTAAATATTTTTTTAATACATAAAATAATTAACGAGTTTTTTGCTTATGACTTTGTTTTCCAATATAAGTTGTTGTATTATTGATAACCATATTATCATCAAAATTTTCTGTATCACTATGTTCACTTTCACTTCTTGAATCACGTTGAATCTGTAACACATGTAAAATCAAATAAATATATTCATTGTAATTTTTATATAAATGTTAAATATAAATAAACTTTAATTGAAAGATTTGATTTCTTTTTTTCTTTTATGAATATTGTTAATCACAGTATCATTTAGACATTTGATTATTTGTGTGTGTATTATTAAATTTATAAATATATATATATACCTTTCCAACCAAGAAGATACTGTACGTAGTCTTAAGAATAAACCAAGTCCAGAAAATATGAAGAAGAAATAATAGACATGCTAATGTCATAAATAGGACATATGTTAAATGTATATTAAATCTGGGAAATTGAAACCACATACTGAAATAAAATAAACAATTGTACAATTTTTTTTTTTTTTTAATTCAATTTAAAATTATTCTCTTATTATAAAAATAATGTTTTAAGAAAAGATCATAAAAGATTTCTTACTATACCTGCGAATTATCCAAAAAGGAAATAGAGTAAGATGCGTAATCGTCCATGTTGTTATGAAAATAATAAATGCAATATGGCAAGTTCGTTGATAATTAGCATAATGGGTCATTTTTGCTATCTAAAAAAAAAAAAAAAAATAAGAAAATTATCATTCTATAGCAGTTATGATTTCTTTTTTTTTTTTTCAATAAAGATAATATAAAAGTTATGAAATAATAAACAACTATAAGGAAATATTCGATGTAATGTATATTATTATTATTAACACATTCGCGACTGGCATATTATTTTTCCTTTTTTAATACTGAGTTCCGGCAAAAGTAATAAATTATTTAAATATTATATTAAAATAATTAAATATAAAATTAATATATACAAATTTATTTTTGTAAAACTTTAAAAATTTAACATGACATGAATCACGTCAGCGGCAACCAGGAATAGAACTTGAAAAGAAGTGAATTCACAATTTGATCCCGGACGACGAAAGTTCCAGTATTAGGAACATTTTGATTTCTATCGGTGACCATATATTTGGTTTTTTGCGGCCCTAGTTCTTTTGTATTATCTAATGACTCTTTATTGTCCCCTAACAATGCAATATTGTCCACGTATGTCAACAGTTTCGTTGTCACGTTCAGCTACAGACCATCTTTACTTTTATAAAGTTCTTTGATAGTAAAATTATATGTTACTTACTTCTATAAAAATTAAAACAGGATCATGTATAAATACAAATAATGCGCCAATTCGTGTCCAATTCGTAATCCACGAAGAATACAATAATAAATTACAGATTATGTGATGAACAAAATTTGCCCAAAAATCTTTCCTTCGTACTTCAAAAAATTGGGAAACACTTAATAACAAATATAATGCTGCAGTCATTGCGTAAAACCACCATACGTCATTGGTCACTACATGATCCGGATAATTGTCATAACATTGTTTTATATCCCACAGCCATGGTTTATTCCATAAAATAATAAGTCCGTATAAGAATGACCACGTAGCATAGGCAAATCTCCAGCTAAAAATAAAAAATACATATTTTTTATTTTTTTTATTTAATATCTTACATTACTTTAAGCAAATATTTTTTATAATTTTTAATTTTTAAATTGTGTGTAAAAAAAAAAAGAAAATTGTCAAAATTTTACCCGCATTCACAAAATTTTGTCAATGTAGACGGTTTATCTTGAGAACGTCTAATTCTAATCCATCTTTCTATTTTTCGTTCAGACCAATCCAATTGTTTAGCTAATGCTAATATCTTGAAAATATAATAATTTATTAATATAACAATATATTTTTCTATATGTAATTTTTAATAATAATAAAATATATGTACCTGTTTCCCTTGTAATTTTTTATTGATGTAAGCTTTCTCCAATATTTCATTTGGCGGTGCTTTTTTTACTTTTGTATCATTTACACCAAGATATTTTCCAAAATATACGAAAAAATGTCTGTATAAAATAGATATAAATATTTTACAATTAATAATATTATAATAATATTAATTAGAAGATAAATTTATTAATTAGAGGTCAAATTATAAATTAATGCTAGGTAATTAATTTATATTTTATTATTTATATAATTTCCCCCAATATTATTTATATTATGTTATTGAAATTTGGATTTGTCTTAAAAAAAAATTTTTCTTTTTTAATTTTTTATTAAACAATACTCGTAATTATTATATAGATTTTTAACATTTAACGTTAAAAACTAATGTTCTTTTAATTGTATTATTTTATATGATTTAATTTTTACTGATCACAAATCAATTTTTTTTTTGTTTGGTCGTACTTTAATAATATGTTAGTATAATAAATAAAATTAGTATTCTTACTTTTATAAATATATCAAAATTCTTACCTTTCTAAGAAGTATTTAATTATCGCCAGAATTATTGCTAACGGTATGGAATATAGAAAAAGTGAATAACCGGTATACTTGAGTACACGATCCCATGTAACATTAGGTGGTAACCACATGTGTGCTGAGCATATTGCTGACAACATACTCTTCAAACTATCCATTGTTAATTATTTTACAAATTAATACTAATTAATAATATATTTATTAGTTTAATAATAACCGTGTTTATCAAGACTGAAAAATAATGACTGAATTCTTGATTATTACTTTTTGTCTTAAATATACTTTCTCAATCTCATAAAAAATTCAATGTATTATTACAATTGTTTAAAATTGCTTACGCATGCTTAAGCATTCTTACGCTTGAGCAATATATGACTTCCAAATATTTATGATTTATACCATTTTACGATGATATTTCAAAATAATGGAAAAAAGAAAATAAATTCTTTTTATGTAAAAAAAAGAAAAAAAAAAAACAATTTAAAACGTGACTTATCAAGCGATCTCTCTTAGTATAGTCCAGTTGTTTGATTTTTTCATTTATTTTACATTACTTTTTGTTGAATTTATTTGACGCGGATCAAATAGAAAATAATTCTATATGTAAGAAAAAATAAGATGGTTTACTACAACTAAAGTAATGGTTTATAAAAGTATAGAAAAAAAAACACGTAGTTGCTCGTTAAACAGACAAAATTCGAATAAGCGGTCAAGTCTCAGACCTGTTGTTTATATCAGTCGTTCCTAATGTGGTCGATAATGACCACAGGTGAACTTTGAGAGTGGTGGAAATGAGCTATTAATATCCAGATAACATAAAAACTTTCTAAAACATTTCTTAAAAGTTTCAAATCTTTCAAAAATGTATCTACAAAATCTTTCTACAATGGTGAACATGTCTGCGTTCAGAGACTTGCAAAAGATTACCCTACCAGTAAAATATTTTAGAAATGTTTTTAAAATATTTTTGTAAAATCTTTTACGAATCTTTTTCAAAATATTTTACGAAACTTTCGCTGAAAGATATCAAAACCTTTCGTGTTATGTGGGTAATAATAATTAATAAATTAGCTGTTCACAGTACACACATCGCTACTTACAATTTACTATTGTAACTAATGAATTATACATTTAAAAACCGCTTAGTACAGCGTGCCTTACGACACCTTCGTAAGGTTTAGTTCATATCTTCTAAACGAATCAAGATACCATTATAATATTTTTTGCATAATATTTCTACACTACAAGCTATTTGTCCGCTTCACGTAAAATGCCCCATATAATATATATATACAGGTCTCCCTCCAAAAACACGGTAGATAGGTTCCTAGAAAATTCCGTGTTATTCAAAACCGTGTTGCTATATAT